GAGCTCCCGTCTCTTTAAGAAAACTGAGGTTGTGTTTCAGTCTGGACTTTTGTCAACGATGACACAACAGCAACACCCGAGAACATCCCTGCTCACTGCTGACGTGTACGTAAATGGTCATGTGACGTGTTTTCAAGTGTGTTTGTCTGTGTGTGTGTGTGTGTGTGTGTGTGTGTACTGACCACAGTGAAGATCTGTATTTCTTTCCTGCTACAGTCACAGTCGACTGAAAGCCTCGATCCTGTGAACGCTGCACCTGAAAACACACACACACACAGTGACACAGTTGCTTATCACACTTATCGACTGTGGTTTATTTATAAGTTTCCTGTTTGCAGTTTCAACACTAAACGTCAGCTGTCTTTTGTTTCCAGTTTGTTAAGAACACCCGGATCCAATGAATTCAGTCAAAAACAACAGTGCTGCATAAAATGTGAACTTTGTGAAAGTTAAAATGTTTAGTTTTTGTTGAACCTGGTCGAGAGTGAAGTGTTTTATTGTTTAATGTTAAAACTTTATTTGTTCCTGTTCCTGAACGTACCATATCGTACAGCGGTTGCTCCACTTTCTCTTTGCGGCTCCACTCCAGCAGGAACATCTTGGGAGTGATCTGAGGTGGATACTCCCTCCTGCAACAAAAACAAGTCACGTGATCCTAAAGCCTTCACAGGTTTCCTGTTTAAGAAAAATAAGGAAAGAAATTAACTGCTCATCCATCAGGTTCAAATCTGAGGAAAGATTGTTTTAATTAGCGAGCTTGTGAAGTTACGGCGTTCTTGAGATATCACGTGTTTGAGAGTTGACAGACGTGTTGATCTGGAAACATGGACGATGCCACATTCGTCAGATTAGATTTATGAGTTTGTAGCAAAACAGATCAAAACAATTTGATCCACAAACACAAAACACCGACGTTCGCTCTGACAGCGCGTGCACTCAGACATTTGTTTTTCTGACCGTTCAAACTTGACGGCCATGGTGGTGACGTCTCCGTCCATGACGGGCCGGTCGGGCTGGCTGCTGCTCTGCAGGGTGTCCCTCCTGGTCCGCAGCTGCTCCTGCGTCTGCTGGTAAAACTCCTGCAGCCCGTACGCCTCGCTGCAACACAACACCGCAGCTACATGACATCAGCACCTGACAGACGCTCTTATCAGACGCAGACATCAGACGCTCGTACCTGATTTCGGCGTTGGTCTGAGCCGCCTGCAGCTGCTTCCCCAGAGGAGACTCCACCTTGTCTCTCAGCATCTGACACAGACAGTATTTGGTGTTGAAGGCGTTGTTGTCGTAGCGGATCGCCTGTGAAACATAACGGCGGCAGACACAGTTAGCGTTCTGCTCTCTTCTGATCGTCTGCTGCTCCTCTCGATGGAACAACAGGAAGCTGCTGCGCAGAAGCTTCTCGTGTTATGATCGAGTGTCATTTACAAATTTAACAATGATCGATTATCAAATAAAAATCAATAATGATCAATAATTATAATAATTGATATCTGAAAACATATTTAAGAGATCTGAGCACGTTCCATCACCAGGTCTGTGATGACTCACATATCTGAGGTATTCCTCCATGACCCTCTCCACAGGAAGTGGTCCCTGGCTGACGAACACCGATGCGTTCCACATGGCAGCTCGAGCCAACATGACGGATGAGGCTCCGGTCGCCCTCCTGAACTCCTCGATGTCCGCGTTGGTCTTCACCAGGTCCAGAGAACCTCCGCTGCAGCAGAGACGAGACAGCGGCCGAAATTCACGTTAACAAACGACTTATATTTAAAGTTTTAAAACTAGTTCCTCCCTGAAGCTGAAAGAGCAGATGACAGAAATTAAACAATAAAAATAAAGCTGTCGTCTCACTCTGGAATAAAACCCGAAGCCGCAGAGGGACGGGCTGCAGATTATTTATTTCACAAACCTCAGAGTTAAAATGTGTCACAATTAACAGTTGATGTCAGAACCAGAAATAGACGAGTTGATGCTGCTCATCACAGCCGTGTTGAACTTACTTGGCGATGATGGGGATGGAAACAGCCTGAGCGACGGCCTGGATGTAATCACAATGGAGGGGATGTCTGGGACGCTCCTCCTTCAACCTGAACAGATCAGCAGAGTTTATATATCGTGCAACTCCAGACAAACACTTACAGATTTAAAGAAAACTAATATTAATATGTAATGTGTGACGAGCTCCTGATGAGGAGAAGTTGTTTACCGGCCGTGGACGGCAACAGCAGTGACGCCGGTCTTCTCGATCCTCTGAACCAGACGGATCGTTTCCTCCAACTGGAACCAGAGTTAGTCACGAGCATTTAAAAATACTTTGTGTGTCATTTTGCCTTTTAGTTTGAATTGTGGGTAAATTCAAGCTGCATCTTAATTTATTTCCTAGAGAAGAAAACCGACATGAGATGAGAGAGAGATTTCAAAACTTTAAAATACAACAGAGACAAAAATAAGTCTCAGCCAGTCGCTACCTTTAAATCAAAGATTTGATCTCAATGACTCTCGTGTTTTTACTCCTGTCTTTAATCTTTATTCTGAGTTTCCATTTTTTTAATTTTTTGTATGTCTGCTTACGTCTGTAACTTAAAAGGAAGAAATATAGAATAACATGTGTCGTCAGGACCTAAAGTGAAGATATGAAAGAAGAAGTGATGTGGGACGAGGAGCAGCAGGTTCTTCACGTCTTACCGAAGGCAGGATCCGAATTTTACACGTCACTGGTATGGACACGCCTGTGACCAGCTTCCTGAGGATCTGAGGATCAGAGACGGGAAAATTGAAGAATTGTCTCTTTTGTCGTTATGTGATATGATTGATATTTACGTGGCTAACGGACCGCCTCGATCTTGTCAGGGTCAGACAGAAGAGCAGCTCCCATCCCGCCCTGCAGGACAGCAGAGGTCAGAGGTCAGTGAGAGGTCAGTGAGAGGTCAGTGAGAGGTCAGAGCAGCAGCAGGTCGGAGGACAGATCGCTCACCTTAGTGGAGTATTCCTTCGGACAGCCCATATTCACATCAACGGCGGCCACGTCCTTCTCCCTGTGCGACAAGTTTCACAACTTCAGACAAGAAAATAATAACATCTGAATCATCTCTCACATTAAACAAGACATCTCGACCTCGATGATGATGATGATGATGATGATGATGATGTTTACAATCGTCTGCGTTTGTTTTGTTAGATTTACACGAAAATGATATTTTGGGACATTTTCCAATGAGCTCGACTGTTGTTGATGCAGCTCGAGCTTCTTCTCGTCCGTTCAACTTGTGTTTGTGTTTGAGGTCCGTGTGTGAACTCACACAAGTCGAGCCACGGTCAGCGCTCTGTCTGGATCAGCCGTCCCCTGAAAAGAGATGAAGAAGAATCTCACTCGCTCTGCAGCAGCAGCATATTTAAGAGGAACCTTTCAAACATTGTGTGTCTCACCATCTGGAAGACGACTCTGTCCTTCTCCCTCTCGCAGGTCCTGAACATCACTCGCTCGTCTGGAGCCACGAAATCCACCGTGTGCAGCACCTCTGACAGAACACGGAACAACACCGAACTGAGGTGAAAGCATCTACAACAGAGTTTGTTCCCTTCGGACGTCTGAGCTGAACGTTCTGGAGTCAGACACCATCTCTGCATTTAAAGTTAAAAACCCCTGCCCACTATCCCTCTCTCTCTTCTCTCCCCTCTTCCCCCCCTCTCTCCTCCCCATGTCTCTCTCCTCCCCCGGTGGAGGCAGATGTCTCCTCTCTGAGTCTGGTTCTTGAGGTTTCTCTCTGTTAATGAGGAGTTTCTCCTCCACAGTCTCAAAGTGCTGCTCATGGTTCACCTGTTGGTTTCTCTATATGAAGAATCTGAAGCTCTTCACCTTCTCTGTGAAGAGTCTGGAGATCATGGATAGTAGGATTTGGTGCCACACAAATAAAACTGAACGTTACAGCATGTTCTCGGCTGAGTGAGGAAAAGAAGCCACATCGTTCATGGTTCTGAAGAGACTGGAAAAGAAGGAGATTCTTACCGTTCACCACTCTCTGACACTTTGCCATCTTGATGTCAATCAGCTCCTGAAACAGACGCCACAGAGTTAAAACGCTGCCATAAACCACAGAGCTCAGTTTACCCCCCCCCCCCGTCACACGCTGCATCCTCACCTCGCAGTAAACCACATCGGCTCCGTAGTCCAGAGCCAGCAGCCTCATGGGTAGAGTCCCGACCCGCACCATCGGAGCCAGGGCGGTGATGTTACTGAAGCTCAACCTGCCAGCTGCCATCATGAGGAGTCAGTCGTCCTGTCCAACGCAGAGGACACACACTCATTCACCATCACAATACATTGTCTCTCAGTAATAACGTTGAACGTCGGGTTGGAAACTCTTTTGATTTTTATGTTTGTTGAAATCCTCTTCATGTCTGGGTGGCATCAATAAATAAAGTCGTCTGAATAAAGAAAAACGTCGGTGTAATAAACACAAGTTCCATTTACTGGGACTGAACGATACCCGAGCGTTCTTTATAAGTTTACATGAAAAATATCCAACAACAGAAAATAAACATAACAGACATAGAATGAATATAGAAGATTATAGTGTCAACTCTGCAGAGACACACCTACAGTTAATATGCCATCTCACCTTTCACTTTAAATTCAAGCTGCACGTTATTTTTTCTCTACAGATTAAAACTATAAAGTAATAATAATAAAATATATTGAAACTGGGTTTAGCCGCATTCCTTAGCACAGCAGGACCCACCCACGAAACTCCAGTTGAAAATCTGTTGATTTAAGGCAGCAGCGTCAGTTCACACTTCACAGACGACAATTAAACCTGAGACCCAAAGTTTCAAACTTTATCATTGTTAAATATTACAAGGTTTCAAGCCGGAAACTAATTAGACAACAATAACCACACATAGAACAAACACAAGCAACTTTTAGCCCCGCTTTCATTTCATCTAACGACTCCTGAGGGTTAGCATGTTCAATAAGCTCTACCCGACAATATGACTCTGTTTACATTCAATTATTCTGAAATGTAAAATGATTTATTGACACAGTCCGACGCCGAATTAACAAGAACACGATGCAGACCTGTAAACCAGTTCAATATCTGCTCTGTCGCGTATGTATGTTAGTCAAGCAGTAAGATTCCTTTAAAATGCGACACTTTCGAGTGGAGTCTGGTGAGAGGAATCGATGTGTGCTGAGTTACGGTATGCTAACCCTCCGGAGTGAATGTAGCTAAGGCAGCGATGCTAACGTTAGCACGAACACAACACTTGAAGTGATAAAGTGTAAAAGCTTGAAACGGAAGAAACTCACCGGCACCGACTGGAACCAACTAACGTGGACAACGTGCTGCCTTCTACTTCCTGTTTGGACCGCTGCGTCATCACGTCGCTGCAGATCAGAATGACGTAGATCAGTGACGCACATAGAACCAAAGTGAACAGAAGAGAAGCTGAAACTGTTTCACCTGGTGTGTGTGTGTGTGTG